GTGCTGTGCTGCCCAGCCAAAACAACATCACACGTAACAATGGCACCAAGCTCTGTGCATGCTCACCAAAAGTTGCATAGCCATCCGCAGTTGGGTCACTCCCTGCTCGCCAAAAATTATGGCGACCATACACCTGCGCATAGCCTCGCGGAGCCACACCTTCTCAATCCTCACGCTTCTCCTCTCCCGAGAAGGCGTGCCTCCGCGAAGCTAATGCCGCCGGCATTTATCTTTATCCGGCCGCTCATGCGTATGGGCACAATGCACGCTCGTCGACTTCAAGTGCCAAGCCATCAAGATAATGTAACACCTTGCTTTACACAGTATCTTTCTGTCCCCAGTTCCCTTCTCTCCCAGGACTCCCCTTGCTCCCTTGGCTCCCCTTGCCCCCTTGCCTTCCTGGACTCCCTTGCCTCCCCTTGCCTCCCCTTGCTCCCTGGACTCCCCTGACTCCCCTTGCTCCCTTAACTTCCTTGACTCCCTGGACTTCCCCCTTCCCTAGACTCCCTTGACTCCACCTTTCTCCTAGCACTCCCTCTACTCCCTTTACTCTTTGGTATATACTCCCCAGGAAGCAAGGGGAGCAACAAGGAGTAAAGGGAGTCAAGGGAGTCAAAGAAGCAAGGGGAACTCTCTTGATACACCTAACCCTAACTACACATGAAGGAGGTACCATTATTGTTTGTGCAGCCCAAAAAAGATTGCACACAAGAGAGGCACACCTTCAGCTGACAGCTATGCAACAAGCTATAACGCCCCCTGTGCATGATCACCAATGGTTGGATATCTCCATTTGGGTCACTCGCTCCCGCTTGCTTAGCATTCACCTAATTAATTTTTTTGTGGAATTAATCTGGTGGCAAATGTAAAAGCTAAGCAAAGTCTCCGTTTCCAATTTTTTTTGATTTACTCATCACCTTAATATAACTTTATGCATTATTTATGTTACAAAATTTGAGCAACTGGATGACAAATTTGTGAACCTTTCACTACAATACCAACATACGGTTCACAAATTTCTCACCATAATTTTATCAGGGTTCAAAAACTTGTCACCCCTGTAGTATAGATACTATAGTTTACACAGTCCAAATTTGTGAACCCTGACTTCCAAAGTTGCTTTTCTGAATTCGGCGTTTGCTGAAATGTACCTTGTTTTCTTGGATTATTTAGAGGAAAAGTACTGATATTTATAATGATTTTGGGAAAAATGAAACAGACTTTAAAGTTTGTAAGCGTGGGCATGGATGGTTTTTCCATTGTGCACACTTATTTATTCATAACAAAATTCTAGTCCATTCTCTTTCAAAGTCTTTCCGATCGTTTCTTCAAACCTTGTGTTTTGCGCGTCAGTATAGTGATTTTTCCAGTCCCCAACTACTCCCTTCCTCAAGTGTGACCGTCCACGCGAAAACCAGGCATAAGTCGGCAAAATTGATTTTTGCGTTGGAAGTAGGTACCGCGCGATTCAGACTTTTTTCACGGAGAAGGACCTACATCTACCTAGAAGACAGCTATATACGAAACTCGCTCGCCAGGGCCGTGGCGGCGCCTCGAAGTTGGCTATGTTGATCTCCACGCGCGTGAACGGGGCGCAATACACGGGAATTACGCGGAGAAATTTACGGGCCGTCAAAAAACAACTGCCTAACGAGGAACTACGGTTACCAACGATGCTAAAAGCCTACCTGCTAGCTTCGTTGTGCCTGTCTTGTACGTTTCCACGGGAGATAGCCTCGTTTCACAACCGTGCGAGCGACTGTAGGGGGCGTGTCAACGCCCGACGTGTAACAGAGCGCGTATGCGGAAAAATTTCGGATCTCGAAGGTTTGACTCCCGGGTACAAAAGTAGCTATATCTCCAGAATGGAACGGGCTATCCGAACCAAATTTTGGGCAAAAGGGTAGACAACGCGGAATCTGGTGAAATCTGGGGAAAATTTTTGCCGACTTATGCCTGTACGGTCACAAGTATTCAATTGTAAAATTTACCCCTTCCCACTTGTCGTTTACTCATTTATTTTTGGACATGTTAAAAAAATGTTGACTTTTCTACTACTCTCTCCAACAACTCATTTGTAAGAGGGTCAATTCCAATAAATTTAGTGTTCTGGCTAGAAAAATATCACAGAGCGGTGCTATCCGTCACTAAGGGGGGTCTGATTATAGCATTTAGACTCTCAGAGATTGAATCTGGGGGGAATTTGAGGCAAATGTGGTAAATTACAACATGTTTAAAACACAATACATTACAGCTAACTAAACAAAGTTTGTGTTGTTCATTGAGTCTATGGTTGTGCATTCATAGTGTGACCACGGAGGTTCAGTTCTGAAACGCGTGGGTAAACTAGTAGTACTTACGTAAACTGTGAATACAATTATTCGAGCGCGTACGCTTACTGCGGCGGGCAGTTGCAATAGCGCGAGTGTAACTATAGCGCGGCGCTGCACCGCTCTTCCGCGCTTTAACGAGAACCCTGTATTTTTATGAGGTCCTCATACGTGATGAATAGGCTAATTAGATTCATCCCTGTGCTTCCACCATCCCATCACACGGTTTAACCAACCCCCAAAAGCACCTGATAATCCCTTTTACTCCAGGAATTCACCAAAATATTATTATGAATCCAAAGAATATGACTCAACTTCAACAAATTTTTTCATTTGTGTTTGTCAAAAATACCATTCGGAAACGAGCAAGATAGATGTATTTTGATTTAGTAGTGTGGGGAAAACCGCCAGCTGTTAACTCATAGGGTAAGTGGACCTTAAACATTCTTGGAGAGGGCAGTTCCTCTAATGCAGTTAGAGGCAGTTTCAATACCCTTCCAATTTCTGAATTAACTGCATCCAGCCATGGAACCGTGACATCCAAACTTTCCCCATTATCTCTATACCTCCGTTGCGCAAAAGCCTGAGTATGTGCCGACACCAAATGGAACCAGATCTTGGGTAAGACGATAGAATAATGTCGTCAGGTCGTAATTGAAATACTTTTAGTGCCTCCCAACTTTTAATAGTCAGACTTGGAATTGGCACGCTTTCAATGAGATTAAGAAAAGGAATACTGCACATTGCTCGCTACTTTTAGTGTACAGCGGCGAGTGACGAGGTATTACAAGTAGCTAAGTCCGTGTAATTATACTCACCCCCGGCGTGAAGAAGACGACTGACCTCAAGGGCCTGCTGCGCAGTTTGGCGTTTCTCTCCTTCCCACGCACTGGCTACACACGCGGCAACGGTCGAAGTAGGTGAGGTTGCACTACTAAACCTGGTCTTTTGCTCCGGCTTGCACCAGTCGGACAAACAAGGAACCTCAATCAAGCCTGTGCCACAGGGCGGCGATCACATGATCATGTCGTACCTGGACTCCCCTGCGCAGCCGGCCGCGCGCCGACTCCTGGTATATAGTCGCGGTGTTTTTTTAATCCTTTATTCGGGGGATTATTCTATCCGTGAGGATAGTATTCTCTTAGTGTGTGTAATATCCGGGGTCCGGATATTATATCCCTCTAATAGAAAACGGTTGCGCATCTAAACGTGCAGGAAAATTTGGCGCCGTCGCTGCTCGCTATTTCCGCACTGTAAAATGATATATATACCGAGTTGAGTCTGCACGACTGCACTCCTTCTCGTCGAGACACTCAGCGGTTGCGCGGGTCGCGGCCGCATCCAGCCCTTCAACGAACAGTCTTCAATGAAAAGCACTGAAGTGCAAACCCTCGGCGAACTGCGCTTGCGCGATACCGCTACTTGATGGGCTGGGCCGTTGTATGCGTTATCTCTTGGTCTTCCGCTATATCATAGTACTAGTAGCTCGCGGAGAGTCTGACACAGGCTAGCCACGGTAGTAGATAGCATGCGGGAGTCAATACACGCCCTAGGTTGAGACTTTTTGAGCCTTCAAGGTGTACGCAGAGCAAGCACATCTTGTGGAGGTAAGCCTGTGCTAATTACCCTCGGCGCGCATGCGCAGCGAGGGTTACTGTAGTTGGGTTTGTCTGCCTGTCTGTTACTTTCAATCTCACTTCTCGAGTGTCTGTTCGTCTCACAAAGGATACAACCCGCTTAACGGGCAACGAAGATCAGAAAATATGTGGGGTTTTCTCTGAAAATGCTCCGTTGCAGAGCTACAGCGCGAAAAAGCCAATATGCAAATACACAACGGACGGGATGGCTTACCACGGTCTGATCGATCCGCGTGCTCTGCGTACCTCGGAGGCACCAGAAGATGCAACGCAGGGCGTGTATCGCCTCTCGCATGCTATCTAGTAGTGTAGTTAGCCCGCGTCAGACTCTGCGCGAGCTGGCAACAGACCACGAGTAACAGCTAAAACTAAACCCAGCCCATCAATTAGTGGTACTGCGCATGCGTATAATTACGCGTGCGCGTCACTGTGCGCCGAGGGGGTTTGCACTTCAGTGCTTTTCATTATCCTCGGCGCGCATGCGCAGCGAGGGTACTGTAGTTGGGTTTATCTGTCTGTCTGTCTGTCTGTCTGTCTGTTACTCTCAATCTCACTTCTCGAATGTCTGTTCGTCTCACAAACGATACAACCTACTTAAAGTTATGGCGTGAAAACCAAGTGAACAAGCCAATATGTAAATTAGCACAGGCTTACCCTGACCGCGTCCGTTCGCTCTGTGTGCACAACAAGTCACAACGAAGGGCATGTATCGACTCCCGCATGCTATTTACTACTGTAGCTAGCCCGTGCCAGACTCTCCGCGAGCTACTCTAGCGGGAGACCATGAGTAAACGCATACTAAAAGCCCAGCCCATCAATTAGTGGTACCGCACATGCGCAGTTCGCAGAGGGTTTGCACTTTAGTGCTTTTCATTTTCCTTTTGAAAAAGAGGTTGTCCTATGTGTAGTTGTGTTGTTACCCTTGGCTTTGCTTCGACCTCATCGATCTTGATGACACACATACACTTAATTATTCACTCGTACAAATACTTGGTAACAGACATAAGAGTAATGAAATGCAGGGGTTTTTACTGGTATAATGGAAGTTTGTACAAATGTGTTTGTAGTGTGAAAGGAAAATAGTGCATTGTTGCTGTAGGAATGCTGGAGGAAATACATTCCTTTAGGCAAAACTGAAACTTGTAACCTTCTACACACATGGAGAAGCAACAAGTCTGCCTAAATTGTATGTAGATACATCTATGTGAGAGAGTGTGTATGGTACCTAGGTATACAGGCCTGTTATGTATATAGGCCCCTCTTCCACCCCAACCAGGCCAGATCTGAAGGTGATCCTCATGAGTGCCACTCTCAATGCAGAGCTATTCTCACAGTACTTTGGTGAGTTAGAGTCGCGGCCACTACATTCAACAGCACCAGAGTCTGTTTCATGTTTGGGTGTGTGTCCTGGTCTCAGGTGGAGTGCCCATGTACAATATTCCCAGCGTGGTGTTCCCAGTGGCCCGGTACTTCTTGGAGGACGTGCTCCAAATGACCAGGTTTGAGCATAATGACTCAGTGTGAGTGGGCATATTGATTGCTGCTATAATCAGCTGATGTGCATGCACAGTGTTGAGCATAAAATGGTGTATTTTGTATATCCAATAAGGTATGTAAATTTTACATCAGTCTTACGTTTATCGCAGTCTGGTGCTCCTTCTCTCCTTTCCCCTTCTTCCCCCCCTTCTCTCTCTCTCTGTTCGATTCATCCTTCTGTCCTTCACCCCCCTTTCCCTCCCTCTCTTCCAACCTCTCCCCTTCTTTCTGTGTCCCGCCACTCTCTACTTACATATCAGATTTTGTCCTCCTCCCCCTACTCGGCGAGGACCTCCGAGCTGGGTGCGGCACCTGCGAGGCCAGGCCGAGGCCATGGAGAAGAAACGAACGGAGGAACAAGAGCGGGCAGAGTACATCGCCTCTCTGGAGGCCAAGAGAACCTACCCACCCTACGTGGTGGAGGCTCTCAGAAACATGGATGGTGACCAGGTCCCTCTGGAACTGATGCTGGAGCTGGTGAAGACCATCTGCAGGGAGGGGGAGCTGGGGGCCATCCTGGTGTTCCTGCCCGGCTGGGACACCATCTCCAAACTCCACGACATGCTCAAGTCCGACCCAGTGTTCCGGTCACGCAACTACCTCATCATCCCGCTCCACTCGCTAATGCCCACCTCGTTCCAGCAGTCTGTAAGCCTACTATTGAATTACAGCACACATATTTGCATTGACTAACAACCTAAATATAGGAGTAAGCATGCATGCATCCTATTAACCCTGTGCGCATGAGCAACGAGGGTATATACAGTACTTGATCCGTGTGATAGAGTTTGTGCGTGTGCTATTGTGGTACAGCAGGCTACATACTAGTGGTCTGTGAGTGATACCGATGGCTTCAGAGTAACAATCTAACTTTGTTCTAGAGATATATTATGGCAGTGGAAAACCACCACTAACTTATCTTGACCGTTGAGGGATGAAGTTTCTAGCAGACTATTTCGCTCTTTTTGAGGACTAGGCTCAGCTCTCTCTATCGCTTGTTTGGTCAGGATGCTTGCAATCTCGTCCTGCAGCTGTTCCTCCTCAGTTGACTGATATGGGGTTTTCAGAGGACACGCTCTGACTTGCCATTGTATTGCATAGCCTCGATTAGCATCCAGGAGCCATTGTTCCTGGGCAATCCCTCCCTCCCTGTTGTGTGAAAACAGCTAAGTGGCATCACCTGCTAGCTTAGGAGATACCAACAGCTCAGTTGACTCAAAACTGACGAAGGATAGCAATGCATTACTTCTTGTAAGTGTGAAGATCATAACAACAAATGCATATGCACATACTCACCGGGTTGTAGTATATATATACTGTATGTTTGAGTATGTGTGTTTTTGGGTTCATTATCAGTCTGTTCATTCCACTTTTATACATGTTGTAATACCTGCACCAGAAACACGCGCACAGTCTCAGGTATATACCAACCTGGAGTAGGTGGAAATAATATTATGCTCATTACAAATTAATGTCACAGTGAATAAACAGAGTACCAGAAGAGATAATTATTATAGATAGTATACACAATATTGAACCTTCCTGGCTCAATTATTGGGTGTGGTCTGATGGATAAGGACGCATGTTTTTGATCGTGAGGTCAGTGGTTCGATCCCGGGTCTGGGGTGTTTTTTTATAATGATGTAATATGAGTGTTGATATAAGAGGAACGTTTTTTCATCAGCTCTCGTGGCCAGCCCAAGTGGCTAAGTGGTTAGAGACGTGGGGACTGTCACATAAGGTGCCCGGTTCGAATCCCGGACCCGCACTGAAACTGACAGGTGGTCCAGAGCATTGGCTGGGAACAGCTCTGGTTCCTCCCCTTACCCATGAATCTACCATTGACCCACACACATCTCAAAGGACAGCGTACAGTTTGGCATTGCACTGCGTCCATAGACGTCTGTCTGGAGAGATGTAGGGTGGCTTTTTTTTCAACCCCTAGAATTTATCTTTCGCCTAAAACAATCCATGGATAAGTTTAAATGGTGCAAAAAATATAGTTTTATTTTTTTAATGCATGGGCAGTATGTTTTCTGCATATACGGTACCGCGCATAGCTTTGACATTTCTAGTGCGCTGAGGGTTTGCATTTTTTTTGGTTTCAGGTATTTGACAGACCACCCGAGGGAGTACGTAAGATAGTGATAGCCACCAACATTGCAGAGACCAGTATAACCATAGAGGATGTGGTCTATGTCATCGACTGCGGGAAAGTCAAGGAAACTGTCAGTGATAATAATAATATGCTTGATAGATTTATTGCATGATTTCGGTTGCTCAGACGTATGATGTGACTAACCAGCTGGCGTGTTTGGAAGCAGTCTGGGTGAGTAAGGCTGCCGCAAAACAGAGGAAAGGCAGGGCTGGAAGGTCAGTGTATACATCACCTGCAGTACAATTAATGCTCTTTTTGACAGTGGTATTGAGGATGCATTAGCACACAAGAGCAAGGGAGTGAGAATACGAATCTTGTACTCCTAAAACACACTACCTCATTATAGCTACGTATGTACACATCTCTGTATTGTACTGCAGAGTCCAACCGGGCAAGTGCTACCACCTGTTCACCAAGCACCAGCTGGAGGGACTGGCAGACTACCAGGTCCCGGAGATGTTGAGGACACCTCTAGAGGAGCTCATTCTTCAGATCAAGATCCTGAAACTCGGGGCCGTAGCTGCCTTCCTCAACAAGGCCCTCGAGCCTCCCTCCGAGACTGCTGTTCTTAATGCCATCACATCCCTCCAGCAACTAGTCTGTTAAAACTAATCACAATACTCTAGCATTTGCAGAAAGTTTGCTGCATTTTTCTTGTGTGGACTATCTCAGAGTGTTTGCTTCACAAACTACTTATGAATTAAACCCCACGCTAATTATAGTGTGGTGGCAAGGTACACATTATACATATATTCCTGACCCCGCTTACAGAATGCTCTTGATGGTGAGGAGAATCTGACCTCTCTCGGTTACCATCTCGCCAATCTGCCCGTGAACCCTCGTGTGGGGAAGATCATTCTGTTTGCTGCCATGTTCTCTTGCCTCAGTCCCGTCCTCACCATTGCCAGTAGCCTCGGCTTCAAAGAACCCTTTATCATCCCTCTGGTGAGAGAGACAGAGAATGTGATTTAGAACTGTGTTGGTCCATCTATATGTGTGTATGTATGTATGTGGGGGTATGAATGCATTTTTGAGTGTTCATACATAAGTTTTAGTAGAGATAGTTTTACATGTGGAGAATGGCAGTGTAATGTTGACGTGGTATATTGTGTTGCAGCACAAGCAAGAGGAGGCGGACGAGGTGAAGAGAAAGTTAGCAGAAGAGTCTCGCAGCGACCACATTGCTCTGCTCAGAGCATATGAGGTACATACAAAGTACATACAACATACACTTCTATAGTCTGTTGTGCACTCACTATACACGATAGGACCTACAAGTTATATATACAAATGTGACCAAAGTATGAATCTCTATTATGTGGAAACTACCACTCTCATCTATGTATTTATACAACCATGAAAAATCACGACCCTTGGAAAAAATTTGCCAACATGTGCTTTATACTTACAAATGTTATTCTTGCACTCAGGGATGGGAAGACGCTTGTCATGAGAGAAATGCTAGAGACTACTGTTGGGAGCATTTCCTCTCACACAACACTCTTGAGGTACATATATGGACACAGAATGATTACGTATGTAAGAGCAGTGGCTGATGCAATATTGCACCTACCAATTGGAGCCTCACCCAAGCTGAATTTTGTGCTCATAAGGGTACATATACTTCCTGTACAACCTGCATGTGAAATACAGCTCCCGCTTGACTTACATACTACAGAGAGAAGGAAGGAGGGGGCTTCACATATTTTCTATAGAGATATAATACAAATACATATGAACAGAGTATCCATTTTTATCACGTGCACATGAATTAAAGAGTTCACATTAAGTTGCCGTTCTGTGAACTAGTTTATGCTCATTTTGCTACTGCCGAGTATAAGTTGCAGGCGGTAGCTGATCTTGCCACCACTGCTATACTGTGCATACAGTCTCTCTGTGTCACTGCAGCTGCTGAAGAACATGAAGAAGCAGTTCTGTGGCCTGTTGTATGACACTGGGTTTGTCCATTGCCCGGATCCAGACCACGATGAGGCCAACCACAACTCTGCCAACACCAAACTGATCAAGGCTGTTCTGTGCGCCGGTCTCTACCCCAATGTGGCCAAGATCGTCCAGACACGTCCCGACAGGTGCTCATCTCTTAGTATACTTGTATACACCCATAGATCACGGAACCGGTATAATTATACCTCAGCTGAATGATTGCCTGAGATACATACTGTAAATATGAAAAGGTGTATATATATAATATATACGGAAAATGTATTGGATAGGGAAATAGATTTGGAGGAGATTGAAGTGTGTGTTAGAAAGTTGAAGAATAATAAGACTGGTGGTAGTGATGGGCTTGTGGGGGAGCTTCTAAAGCATGGTGGGTCAGGGATGGTAGAGTTAATTAAAAAGTTGTTTACAGTAATTTGGCGTGAGGAGTTTGTGCCACCACAGTGGAGGGAGGGCCTCATAGTTAACCTGTTTAAGAAGGGAGATAAGGAGGATCCTGGGAATTATAGGGGCATCACTCTGCTGAGTGTGGTTGGGAAGGTCTTTTGTAAGGTATTGAACAATAGGTTGGTGAAGCATCTGGACGAGGGCAAAGCATTGCATGAGGGCCAGGCTGGTTTTAGGGTTGGAAGGGGTTGTGTTGATAATATTTATACGTTGAATGAACTCGTGCAGGGTAGACTAAAGGAGGGGAAGGAGACATATGCATTCTTTCTAGATGTGCAGAAGGCATACGATAGTGTGTGGCGTAACGGCCTGTGGTTTAAGTTGTGGGAATTTGGGGTAAGAGGGAAGATGTGGAGGGTCATAAAGAAGATGTACGAGTATTCAAAGAGTGCTGTATTGTTGGATGGGGAACGGTCAGAGGCATTTAATGTGGAACAGGGGGTAGCTCAGGGATGTAGCTTATCTCCAATTTTGTTTTCCGTATTTGTCAATGGGTTGTTGAGGGAGGTGGAGGAAGCTGAGATTGGAATCGATTTAAGTAGTGGTAGGAGACTTGGAGGACTTTTGTTTGCAGATGACTTCGTTGGTGTTAGTGAGTCTAAGGATCAGTTACAGACGCTTATAGATGTGGTGCAAGCCTACTGTCGAAAATGGAGGCTAAAGGCTAATGTGAGTAAGAGTGCAGTGATGGTGTTCGCTAGGGAGTTAGGGGATGGTGCTTGGAAATGGGGGGAGTATGTTTTGCCTAGAGTATCTAAATATACATTCTTGGGTGTTGATTTTACTAGTACTGGTGCATGGGATGTGCATATCAAGAATGTGTTAGACAATGGTAGAAGGAAGGTTAATCAGTTGCATAGTGTAATTAGTAATAGGGATATTAATTTGAGGGCTCGCAGGTTGTTGTTGCTGGCGGTGGTTAGGCCAACTTTAGAGTATGGGGGTGAGGTGTGGGAAGCCAATAAGACTCAGGCAGCTGCATTAGAGTCCGTTATGCTGGGAGGAGCTAAGCGCATTCTTGGGTGTTCGTCTAAGACATGTAATGAAGCCGTTAGGGGGGATATGGGGCTTGATACGTTACAAGGGCGTAGGGATAAGAATAAGTTGAAGTGGTGGTATAAGTTAGCGGCATTGCCAGGCAATAGGTATCCGAAAGAAGCTTTTTAAGAAAGAATGGAATTTTAAGCCACGGAGAGGCAGGCAGAGGAAGGGTTGGAGTAAGGTCATTGATGATCTCTTTTCGTCATTAGGTCTTGACAAGGCAGAGTGGTTGCATGATATTCAAAATGGGGATTGCTCCTTGAAGGGCTTTTTGTCTATAATAGGGGACAGTATTAATGAGAGGGAGATTAGAAAGTTTGAAGAGGGGCTAAATAGCAAAGTAAAGCTGTTATTGTATAAGACATTTAACAAGGTGGTAGAGTTCAAAAAGTACTTGCATAGGAAAAGTGATGCTGGGTCTAGATTAATGTTTAAGTTCAGGTCAGGCACGCATGGGCTAAATGAGGAACTGGGCAGGCATAGGGGGGGGGGAGGGGGTGAAAGAGTGCCTGTTGTGTGATGATGAGTGTGAAAGTGTGAGTCATGTGTTGTGGGAGTGTCCAGCATATAGTAGTCTTAGGAGCAATTTCTTAGTTGACCTGCAGGGGAAGCTTGGGGATGATGGGTTTGAGCATTTCCAGTCGCTTGATAGTTTCAGGAAAGCATCCTTTATATTGGGTAGTGAACTGTGGGAGGATAATTTTGGTTCTTTGCTTGGCCTTGTTAAAGATTTTATTTTGGATGTTTGGGAGCTAAGAAAGGTTAGGTTATACGGCGATAGTCCCCACGTACAACAAACCCAATCTCAGATTGTGTCTGGGGAGCTGCAGGGTGTCGCTGGTGGAAGGGGTGAGTTGAGGTGTCTGGGAGGTGAGACAGACACCTCATGTTCATATGGTGTATGTTCGTGTGTTAACGGTTCCGCCCATTGCTCTGGGTGCGTGGTCTATGGCCCTAGTGCTATGGCAGCCACCTGAGTATTATTATTATTATATATATAATATAACCCCTGAAGGTTTTGTGTGTAGTTGTGAAATTGTGTCAATGCATGCCTTTGTGTGCACTCATCATGGTACAACAATTATAAGGTACTTTCGACGGCCGGGCGTTCTGTCTGTCTACCTCTTTGAACAGAAGCAGTGTCGTTGCCTTGCCCGCTCTCGATCTCGTATATAATCGTCACTGAAAAAGACGAGCCTCTCGGTCGTGCGGATATTCGATGGCCGGGCGTTCTGTTTGTCTACCTCTTGGAACAGAAGCAGTATCGTTGCTGGACGTGAACAGAACCCCCGGCCCAAAATTAGTTGAAGCGTGTAATATCAGCGCATGCGCATAACTACGACGGATGGTGTGTCGTATATACAAATATATATATAATATATAGAAAATTCCACCCGAAGAAACCACTAGGGGGGGGGGCTCAATTATACACTGAATCGATAAATTTGGAGTAAGGCACCAGCTCATTTGAAATAATGAGAGTATAGTGTGTGACTGTGGTTGTGTGTATTTCCAGACCACCCAAACTGTACGATCAGGACACCAAGGTCAAGTTCCACCCAAAGTCAGTCAACTCAGACGAGACTACTTTCGACAACAAGTTTGTCATCTACCACACCAAGGTCAAGAGCACAGCGGTGTTCCTCCATGACACGAGTATGATCCTCCCTTCCCCCTCCTCTTCTTCGGAGGAAACATCTCTGTCGAGAGAGACGGAGACCAACAGATCATTGCTGTCGACAAGTGGATCAAGTTCCAGGCTCCCCACCGCATTGCCATGCTAGTCAAGGTCTTGCATAGCTATAAGACTCCTAGATGTGACTAGAAAGTTTACAACTCACTTTTGGCGAGCTAGCATGAGACTCGCGTGCATGAAGCATTCCATGATTGTGAAAATTGATTACCATTAGTATGCAAGAGAGCACCAATTCTGTGGAAGCACTGGATAGGAAAACCCCACATGCAGACGACTAGGTAGACTACTAGGTGGACTTACTTCACTCGACAATTTTGCAATAGTCCCATAAACTGATGTAGCAGTGTATATTTGCCCGTGTGGCAAACACAAGCGTTGGGAAACCAAGCAAAGGGGGAAACATCCAATTCAGTTTCTCGTCTCAGACCTTACTACTGACTATGTGTGCATGTAACATTCATCAATGCTGTTGTCGTTCAGGAGATGCGTCACAGTTGGATGTGTGTTTGAGAGCAGAAAGTGAGCAGTCCCGCATGGATCTGTACACCCCTCTGTCAGTCCCTCTGCCTCCTCACAACTCATCCAGAGCATCATCGATCTAATTGCCTCTGAAGATTACCAGTGGCAGGTCAGACCCTTTCATCCTCAGGGTTAATTAAGGACTCATGTGATAGTGCTCGGGATCATTGATATCATACTAATGTTTTTGCAGGCTCAAAGGCTAGCTGCTGGTAAACACTTATATATTCGCAGAGGGAAGTGATGAACTAATGTAAGACTATCAATATTTTCAACATCATTATTCTGACACAGCCATGTGTACTGTAAACATTTTAATCATGTTGCAAACCTTATGATGTGTGTAACACATGCAGTGCAGTGGGTGCTTATGGATCATTCCCAAGGGATGAAGTTAGTTATGGTCTGCTGAAACCATAACAATGTTCATCTAGGAGTTCGAGTTGTTAAGTTAATAATATTAGCTGTAGAGTTGTTTTGGGAGGGCCCCCGGGTTATCCCCGTAGTAAACTTATGAGGCATGACAACCGCTGATATCACAAATTCTTAACCATAATTATAGGGTGTCACTTAAAAATGTGCTGATTCTTGCAGCATAATATAATGTGCATATGTGTGTGGTAATTGTATAGAAATTCACGTGTTGTGCTCATGCTGCATGTACTCTAAAGAAACCAGGAGTATAGTGCTATGTGGACACTGTCAGTATCTCCACTTCATCTGTGGTGCCAGGGTCCAACCCTCCCACTACCATTATGATATCATCACGTGGTGTCGTTACAATACTGTCTTTTCTTGAGTAGGACATGTGCCCGATGCACGTCCATTTCCCCTGGTCGTAGAGATGGACGGCATTGGTTGTGTTTGGTCTAGTGTGGCCCCCCACCACCACCAGTTTGTCGCCCACACTGACCGGTGTTGACCAGTATGAGGGGACAGGGGGAATAGCCGTCCAGAGGGATTGGGTGGCCGCGTCAGAAGAACGTGAAGATAGAGAGTAAATAAGGAGAGATTGTAGAGAGCAGGTGTAAGCAGAGTCTGTCCAGTCTAACAGGTGCAGTTGGTCACCGCACAGGGCGGCACATATGCCTGGGAGACGGATGGGCATGGGGGCTAGAATGGTCCACTGCCGAGTGGTGCAGTTGTAATGTTCAACTGCAGTGCTCCCCCAATCCCCTCCATCGTCCACCCCTCCCGCTGCTACCAACACACACTCCGTCAGAAGAGCTGACAACTGCAGGTCTTGAACGTGGTGTGTTCATTGGCGGTAACTTCTTGAACCACTGGGTCCCTCTGAGGCTAACTAGTGCATTAGTATGTGGCCCTTTTTCTGTAGCCTCGGGTGGCCTGTCTTCCCCTCCAATAGCAGTCAATAGTCCACTGATTACAACCATGCCAAAGTTGGCCTGTGGGCACAGAGGAAGTTTTGTCCACTTGTTGCTCTCCAGTTCATACTTGAACACCCAGTGGGAATTGTAGGGTGTGAAGTAGGCTACACCGTCATGAGAGCTACAGGCCGCTCCCCTGTCAATGTGTTGAGGTGCATTTGTCCTGCTGGTGGATGTCACTCGGAACTGCAAGAAAAACACATTACTTTATGGTATTATTTGCACACAGAATCCCAAAGGGAACATGTATCTCTACTAACACTATTGTGTACTGCTGTATAAGGTGGTACTGCTGTATAAGGTGGTACTGCTGTATAAGGTGGTACTCCTGTATAAGGTGGTACTCCTGTATAAGGTGGTACTGCTGTATAAGGTGGTACTGCTGTATAAGGTGGAACTGCTGTATAAGGTGGAACTGCTGTATAAGGTGGTACTGCTGTATAAGGTGGTACTGCTGTATAAGGTGGTACTGCTGTATAAGGTGGTACTCCTGTATAAGGTGGTACTGCTGTATAAGGTGGTACTGCTGTATAAGGTGGTACTGCTGTATAAGGTGGAACTGAAAGTGTCATCATACTGTTACCTGTCTCTCTTGCAGTCCTAGTTGTAGTAGGAGTTGGATATTACTCTCACTGTCATCATGTGACATCTGAGGGTTATGGCATCACAGTGGGTTTTCCAACAGGAGTTGTAGTAGTTACATCATGCATTCAATGGCAACCTAGCTACTCTCCTTTTAAAAGTGTGGTTAATCTTGCAACCAAGTTATGACTGTAAAAGACTCATGAAAGTGTAATGTCTGTGTTTGACACTAACCACATACTCCAGTGTCTTGACCAGAACCTCTGCAGTTGGCCTCTTTTGAGGCAAATTACGGAGGCACCCTGTCATTAGCAAGTTGAGGGTGTGGTTGTGTCCAAGCTGTTTCTGGCACTTGATGACGTGTTTCCTTCGTCTGTCAAGCTCAGAGCGACCTTGAATACTGCCGCTCTCATCCACATACGTAGCTCCCAATAACGTAGGGATCTCCCCAGTGATTGTAAACAGCATCAGATGACCGAATGAGAACACATCGAAACGGCCGTCAAACGAGCCTTCTACTTGCAGTGCCTCTGGGGGCATGTAGGGCTCTGTGCCAGACTGACTTGTGAATGGGGTACATCCATACGTGAGGTTCAGTGCACGGGCATTCCCAAAGTCTGACAGCTTTGCCACAGTGAGGGTGGAGTCAAGAAGGACATTGGTAGCCGTTAGGTCCCTATGGAGTATAACAGGCCTGCAGTTGTGGAGGTACCTAAGTCCATTTGCTACATCACAGAGAAGCTTTGTTTTTTGGACAAGAGATAAAGCAGGGATTCCAGGGAACACTTTTTGGTCGAGAATATAATCTTGAAAGGTTGTCTTCATGCACTCCATGAGGACAGTTGGAGAGTTGTCATCATCAAAGGTAATGCCAACCGTCCGCACGATGTTTGGATGATTTATTTTGCAAAGGATGAAAAGGTGACCACAAAGCCTTTTGAGGAACTGTTGCCTTGGGCGGGGAATATCGTGGTACTTCTTACCAGCATAAACCTCTTCACTATGTTTTGACTTCATTTCAAGCACAGTCCCAAATGAACCTTGCCAAATATAGTTCCAGTCCATTCGCAGTCGATTACTCTTAGGTCCATATCACTACCTGTGCAAAGCACAGTGTATAATTGTAATCCTCAGAAGAGTATAATTATAGCTTACTATATAAGACTCACAGATGTGTTCTATGGCCATGTCTGTTCGTGCCACGGATACACCATCTGCAGAAACAAATCAAGGCTGTACAATAATGGATGTCAACTAGCTTAGTAATAATTATGTAACCTCCTTCGTGGGGGTTTAGGGTTAGGTGCAAGTGTCTGGCTTTTTCAGCAAGAGTGTTCTCGCCAACTGTATCACTGACAAGTGCCTCTAGCAAGGCATCAGAAGTAGCATTATGTGACTTGGTGCTCAACCAGTACTTTATCATTTCTTGAAGGCAGACACCACAGTCAGTGTTTGAAGCCTTGATGGCATCCAGTGTGCCCGTACTGATGTCCAACTGGATACCAATGGCATACCATTTTGCCCTCACTTCATGCAGCAGGTTCAACAACATCTTGAGATTCATAGCTGTAAGGTGAGGAAAGAAAATGTTGGCATAGCTAGCTACCTAAAATAAAATGTTACTTACAGGGTCCTGGATTGACTTCAATATCTCCAGATATTATTAGCAGTCTTTTAGCGACGATTGAAATATAGTCCCATCGAATAACAAAAAGGGAGTCTAATTGCATCGGAGTACTGCCGACGTTTCCGTCTGGTAAGCGTCCTAGAATGTTACAGCTATGACCAGCTATTGCTAAATTACTACCTATTATTCCAACATAAAAAAGAGCAAGAATAATCAGCAGCAGCCCCCCGCATGACTTGGTCCGACTCCACTCGACTAATCTGGGTCCGGCGCCAATGTTATCCTTCCTGTAGTGAGGTTGCATTGACAGACATCTGTTCCACGTCCCTACTGCTGCTCTCCACTGTTCCAACGAAGCAGGCATGTTGGTGCATGCGATAGAGCTACAGACGCGCGCGACGGTTTTTATGTCCGCTCGCGCGAAGAACAGCGTGAAATTTATGCGCAGAAACACACTTCATGCGGTCTGCCGGTGCCAGTCAGCAAGCTGGAGCGGATAGTATAGTCGGTGTGTTCACACCAATAGAATCTAGCGCGGAATACACGCGCAGTTGATCGGCACGACGCCTGGAGATTTATCCCCGTGGTAAAATGTGGGGATTTCGTAGAGCGTCTGTTGCTTCTGTGGTCTGCTGTTGTAGGTATGCAACTATAAATAGGTATAGCTCCGGTTTCGCAGTAACTGCGCAGCAATGCTCTGACAAATTTCAATGGACAGTGGAACGTGTCCGCTTGTTACCATCACACTGCATTGTATTAGTATTTTCTGTGGGATATGTACTCTAAGGGCAAGGCTGAAGCTATCCTGCAAGGCAGTAGTAGCCTTAAAAGGCATTTACTGCACAGCAGCTATACCCTTATGTCATCCTCTTTCTGTCCCGGCAGGTGATGTTGACCAGGTCGAGGTGGACAAGTTTCTGGAGGAGAGTCTGAAAATGAGTCGGTTCAGCCATGCACATGTCATGAGCCTCACTGGAGTCTGTCTGGAAGCTGGCTACATAATTATGCCATACATGGCCAATGGAAGTCTCCTCACCTATCTCAGGAGAGAGAGAAAGAACCTCGTTTGCTGGACACTGATGAAGATGAGGTAACTTCTCACTTGGTTACTTTATGTAATGCTATACTTTGCCTCGGTAGGTAGTGGAAGGTACGTGCTCCCAGATAGCCAGTGGGATGGAATACCTGGCTGCCAATGTGTACATCCACCGAGACTTGGCTGCCAGGAACTGCATGTGAGCTCTGCAGCAACTTTGACACTCTATTTTTTTGGTTGAGACTCTGTATGCCTGGCCCTGTTAGGATCAATGCACATTTCCTGATCAGATTTCGGTCTGACGGAGGATGTGTTTGAGAGGAACTACTACAGGCAGGGCAGGAGCTGTGGGGACACGGTGCGGATGGCTCCAGAGAGCCTCAGTGACAGACACTTCTCTGAGAAGAGCCATGTGGTAAAGTGAAAGCTCTGAATAAGGGACATCTTTGGGAACATTTTATTCGGAGTGACAATGTGGGAGAGGGAAAGCCCCATATCCTGGAACTTATCCCCACACCCTTATTCACAGTCTAGAGGAGGGCTATTGGATGCCTTGGCCTTACAATGATACCTGTAACAAGGAAATGTTGGCTGAAATCAGTTGGCTATTTTACTCCCTTGGTAAATGTCCCCTTTTTCATCTATTCGGCTATGGCATAATGAAGCATTTCTGGCAGATAGTAGCTACCAGAAGATAGACCAACATTCACGGAACTCTGTTTGACGGTTTCAAATAATTATCGTTGAACGTATGGTGGGCTACCTGCAGGTGGGTTATATATAACCCTTTCATAGTGGAACTAGGGAAAAGGGACGACGAGAAGATAGAGAAGAGGAGAAGGAGGAGCAGGAGAAGGAGTTAAAGGAAGAGGAATATGATAAGGAGGAGGAGCAACAGGAAGGGCAATGCTTTATACATGAGCTCGACTGTAGGATAGTAAAGAGAACATTATTTAACATTCATTGTTTATCCTAGAAATGTTCATTACCCTATCTAACTATAGCAGTCAAAAAAACAGTTTTTGTATTGGACGACTCCTGCAAAAAAGAATCTCATTGACTACAGCAATGAGATGTTAGTAGCCTACCAGTAGCGATTAAAGAAATTAGCTTTCATCTTCACAGCGAGACCCTGAAAACCCTTCAGGACAAACACATCGCAGGATTCTTCTTCCTCGAATGATGCGGACAATGCAAGTTCCACCATTCATGCAGCCACACTCATTAGTAACAGGTGGAGGAGTTGTAACCTGTGTGGGGAGCAAAGGCAATCTGTGGCCGTATATAAATTTAGAAACTGTTACTAAACAGAAACATAATTGCATTGCATTCATGCACTGGGCCCTATTGTTTCTTTCTATTTTTAGTAACATTTCTAAATTTAGCCCTTATATACTGACACATTCCCCCTAGCAAATACAGTATCAGAGTATTTGTATTGATATTCCTCTAATACTAACCGGTGCGATAAATGACAATGTCTTTGAGGCAGAATGGACAACACAGCCATCAGTCACAGTGGCTGTGAATGTGAGTGTGGACCCTGGCTCAGTTGATGGGAGGGGCAAAATGAACCAGGTTACGGAATCATTGCCTCTGGGGGCAACCACCAAACTGGTAGGACGAAAAGCCTGTCTGAAGCCAGTGACAGGCTCAGCTGTGAATGAATAATGCACATCAGTGGGTAAGAAATTTTCAACTCTTAAGGGTATTGTTATGGTCTGTCCATTTTCAACCTCCATTCTGCCCTCTCCATCTGCTTCAACACTAAACTTAGCTCCGTCTTCTTGTGTAAATGTGATGGTCTTTGGTGAGAGGGTTGAATTGAACCTCCTACCATTTGCATCACTGCCCACTACCCTGTAGCTGACTGTGGCCTGAGGGAATGAAACATTCCCCAGCAGTCGATTAGCACAACGGAGGAGAGGAGCTGTTGTGAGAACTTCTCCGCTCTCATTATCACCAGTTGCAGAGATGGGCTCCTAATATTTGCAATCTTTGATGTCTCAATTGATACACGGTCCTCAGTGCCTGCATGTGACAGTTTAATTTATACCAACAATACACTACTGTAATGCTTACATGCTGGTGGTGGTGGTGAACTGCGGACAGAGAACGAGTCTTCATCTGATTTAAGAAACTTGAAGATGGAGTGGATGCTGTTTGTGATGTCTAGTGAGATGGTCAGAGTTCCAGTCTCAACACAAATGCTCCATTGGCCCGCAGGTGGATTCACAGCACGGTATAATTTTTCTCCCCGAATGTTGCCAATGACACGAACTTCCTCTAAGCCTGGTGTTGTAACTATCACTGCACCCTGACTGGTGAAGCCTAGTGCTGTCAGTGACGTGGCTAAGGAGGACGTGGTAAAATAGTGGCACCTCTGCTCAGTATTGAAGGAAGATGTTACCACTGCTCGTTTTTTGCGTGGATCAATGGTTGGTGGAGCAAGGGTGGGTAAGATCATAGAATTCAGCACATTGTCCATAATCATGTTCGTCGTCAAACGCCCTGAATGCATATGGGTTTGTGGTGTGAACAATGGCACCTCCTGTTTGTGTAGCAATTGTGGTGTAAGGCTCCCATCGTGTGTGGCTTAGGTAGAAGCTGATGCACACTTTCATCGAATTAGCTTTAGTGATGACATCGTCTTCAAGATCAGCATCATGAGAGTAGACATCTGTCAACAGTACAATCTCAGAACCAGGGATCATTACTGGTAGTCCATCAGAATCCACCAATGAAAGAATTGCCATCAATGCTCTAAGCTGCCTCTCAGGTCGTCACCACCGCCATTTGCTCTTAAACTGTTAGTTGCAAGTAGCAATTGTTCAAGTTCGGTGACACTTTCAATGCCATTGTAAGTGGTTGCTACTGTAGCACTTGGAATACCTAGAACATAAAAGAGCTTTGGTAGATCCATTAGCTTAGCTACTAATATGGATGGTGGATAGCTCCTTTCACTGAACTAGCTACCTCAGAACCTACCCCGATCTTATGCTGAGGTGGAGTGAAAGATGTGTGATGAATGTGTAAGTCAAAAAGCAGTTACACTTGTGGGACATTACCTCTTGCTTTTCCAGGACCACTACCTGATGAACACAGATTATCTATAGTTACTTACTTGCTGGGGTCAAATACGCCATCTTGCAGGTCATTAAATGGCTGCAGAACGTAGCACCCAGGACCATCTTCTTCACTTCTAAGAAAGTTCTGATCACCTCCTGGGCTGCTTCAATCTCATCCGACATTGAACCTGTAGTGTCCACAGCAAAGGCCAGACAGGGAAATCCTTCCGAACATCTACATTCTCTATTCCAAGTATTGGCTGGATATCATCTTCTGGATCAAGACAAGCAAAGAATTCACAAACACAGGTTTTGGGTCCTTTAAGTGGACAGAAGCAGGGTTCTCCATATTCAGGACATTCGGAAGGATCCTGTCTCTTTCTTCTCCGGGCTTCATGGCTTCTCTCACTTAGACACAGCATCTTGCCAAAAATGTCTCGAATTCTGTCAATGTTTCCCTGGATATCACCCCTCAGTGACCTGTACTCCCTCCCTAGGCTGGGGATATCTGCCTCACTCACACCATGCTCACCCTCACATGCTGCCTCCTTGGCCTCTGTGATTTGTGTGATTGCTTCTGTGAAGTTATTGAAACCCTCATCTGTAGTTTTCACTTCAAACTCCTCTGCTAGAGCTGTGTATACAATTCTAAGAGGGGGTTCATCCGATGTCTCATTTGGAGTCAGTACTCCATCACCTAAAATACTACCCAGTGGCGATGATCCAATGCCCCCAAGAACTGACTCCAAGGCTTCGACAATCTCAACAACTACCTCGTCTCGAGTTTCTTCTTCAGAGAGACTTGCATTGACAACTTTCGTATGTGCAACCATTAGGAATCTCTGTTTGAGGGATCATAGTAGTTAGAGAGATAATAATTATTGACTTCAAGTACGTACCGTCATCCATTATGATAACAGTAGTGGTAGCTGGTGGTATTCTGTGACTGCTGCTAGTAGCTCTCACTGAGAAATGAACATCACTACCAGGCAGGTAGTTGTCAATGATCGAGATGCTCATACACATCCTTTCACTAATCACTGAATTGAATTCCAAATGGGTGAAGTCCCTTGAAGCTGTATGGAAGCAATCATAGAAGGGAAAATAGTTATAATTCAATTTCTGTATAGCTACCTCTTGCAGTTTGCTCCTCAGTGAAAAGTTTTATATTGATTTCTTCTCCAGCACTTTCTCCTCTGATAACAGCACACACGGTCACTGATCCAGCATCCTCTGACGAAGTGTAGACTGCTGACTCAAACTCCATAGTAACTGTAACAGCATAAACCTCTCTGTAAGCTTGATACAAGATTTTTAAACTACTTGATGGTACATTTAAGTAACCCTGGACATGTGTTGTGGATGCACTTGAGATTCTAAGACAGTGTGCTGTATTAGTTTCCGAAATTATTTTTCTAACCCCGTGCAAGTAATAATTACCAACCAATGCATAGGTAGAGGTTTGCTGGATATCTATATCACATACCGCTAAATACTCTGGCTGTCTTGGCACAAAGCGTGATTCTGGCGTCCAGATCTGAGGTTCTTTCTAGTGAGACTGGAAATGATGCCCTAGATACTTTGATACAGCTCCTGTTCTCACATTCTGTAAAGTATATCCTCGAGTATGAGTCTAGGATGAAATGTTAAGAAAAACAATGATAAAATTATTGTGCCACAATTCCTACCATCGCTAGTGGACAGAGAAACACGGAAGGGAAATTGTATAGGACAGCTTTCCCCTGGGTGCATGATAACAGCACAAACTTCCATTATTTCGTCAACATTACGATAGACTGTGTTTTCCAGACAAACTTCAGCAGCTGCAGGGATAAGATCGAGAACAGGGGTAACACATACAGGTACAAAATCATTTTGTCAAAAACTTACTGCCACTACCATCCATCATTTTGATAGCTGTTTGACCATAGATTGGATCAACTTCAGTCCTGACAGTAGAAGATGTTCCAACAGCAATACTCAGGCCAAAATACTCTGTGAGTTCCAGTCGTGTGTCACAGTAGACCGTCTGATTGTAGCAGACAACCCTTGAGCTCTCAGTGATAGAGCTGCCCCTGAGACCATTGGCACTACGTGTTTGTTTCTCATAGTCAGTCCCTGGAGCCATGGGGTAGGTCCCGAGAAAACTAGGGACATCGGGATCTATATATGAAAATTCAAAGACAAATTTACTACATAAGGTGAGAACACCTCTTACTTGCTAGCACGGAACCGGATGGAATGTAGCTGGAGATGTCACTTGTAGATACATCCAGATGTATCACTTCATCGAGAATGTCTGTCTGAGGTCGAGTGAGATTGACACACACCTCCACCTGGCCATCACACTCTGTCACAGTGTACGTTGTCTCAACAAACGCCACCACAAATGGTTCTAAAAGGACAGTCCATAATAATTTTTACTTTAACACAAAGCTAACCATCATCATTGATGGTACTGCATTAAAGTAACCCTGGACATGTTTTATGCATGCACTTGAGATATCTAAGACAGTGCTGTATTAGTTTCTGCTGTGCGAAAAATGCCATTGTATCCCTAAGTGATACACTGCATTGGGAGAAAATGTTTTTGAAAAGGTTGCTTTAAGTAATATTTTTCCTGATACATAAGGTTTGCTGCATACCAACTCTGGCTGTCTTGGCACAAAGCGTGATTCTGGGGTCCAGATCTGAGGTTCTTTCTAGTGAGACTGGAAATGATGCCCTAGATACGTTGACACAGCTTCTTGTTTCACATTCTGTAAAGTATATCCTCGAGTATGAGTCTATGATGAAATGTTAAGAAAAACAATGATAATTATCGTGGCACAATTCCTACCATCACTTGTCGATAGAGAAACACTGAAGGGAAATTGTACACGACAGCTTTCCTCTGGGTGCATGATAACAGCACAAACTTCCATTATTTCATCCACATTACGATAGACTGTGTTTTCCAGACAAACTTCAGCAGCTGCAGGAATAAGATCGAGAACATGGGTAATGCATGCTGGTACATAGTAAAAACTTACTGCTACTACCATCCTTAATTTTTATAGCTGTTTGACCATAGATTGGATCAACTTCAGTCCTGACAGTAGACGATGCTCTAACAGCAATACTCAGGCCAAAATACTCTGTGAGCTCCAGTCGTGTGTCACAGTACACTGTCTGATTGTAACAGACAACTCTTGAGCTCTCAGTGATAGAGCTGCCCCTGAGACCTTGTGTTTGTTTCTCATAGTCAGTCCCTGGAGCCATGGGGTAGGTCCCAAGAAAACTAGGGACATCGGGATCTATATATGAAAATTGAAAGACATATTTACTACATAAGGTGAGGACACCTCTTACTTGCTAGCACGGAACCAGATGGAATGTAGCTGGAGATGTCACTTGTAGATACATCCAAATGTATCACTTCATCGAGAATGTCTGTCTGAGGTCGAGTGAGATTGACACACACCTCCACCTGACCATCACACTCTGTCACAGTGTACGTTGTCTCAACAAATGCCACCACAAATGGTTCTAAAATGAGAAAGTATTGCAGTCCATAATAATTATAACACAAATCTGGAGCTAACCATCATCATCCTCTATGCAAACAGTGTGTTGACAAAAATAATCATCATTACAGGCAGATATCTCACGAAATCCTGGGACGTCTATGCCAGATATCTTCAGAGTAAAGCACTCTAAGCCCTCAGAACGAATGTCCTGACGAACAAAGGCAGTGAAATATGAATAGAATGTCCCCTTGGTGACAGTTAGGTTCTCTGTAATGGGATCACCCATGTTAAGTCTTGCCCCTAACAGCACGTCATAAGAAGAGTCAAACTGGACATTGATTCCCTCCACGGTGCTGTTCGTGGTTTTGACACGGATACGGACAGGATAGTCTCTTCTCTCAGAGCCAATGGAGTTAACTCTCACTCTTATGGTATATCCATCAGCCCCAGGAGGAGTACCACTCTCTGATACTGTCTGACGCCTTTGAGCAAACCCAATTAATGTACGGGCTGCAGGAATAAGGCATTGAACCGAAAGTAGGGTTAAGTCCACACACAGTCACCTACCATCATTATCTTTTATAACTACAGGTACTGCTCCAATTCTTCCATGGCAGGTAGTGTCACTGGCATCTCTAAAGAAGCAGACCATGCTATCTGGAGTGTCAGTTCCTACCTCTACTACTAGAGCCAAACTCTCATCATACTCATTTATAGTATCGTCACTGATCTGAAAGACACGGGGAAGTTCATATGTACCACCTTCCATAGGAGGGATTGTAATTGTGATATTTCTTGCTGTGAAATCAGAGCCTGAAAATAAGAAATGTCACTACAATGGCAATATTATTTTGTATGTTAACCTGGGTTAGCTCTGAAAGTCACTAAGCGAGGGATCAAGCCACCAATGCCGAGAGACTCTGCCACATCAATGGAGATGGCACTCACTGTAAAAGTAAATGGACTTTGGGTCGTCTTGGTGAATTGAACTCTGATCGGCATGGTCTCTGCTGTATCATTTTCCCCCACAGAATAGGCCGTCTCCTCAAAGTATATCTCAAGCTCTGTTAATTGGTAAGCTGTGAGGACACTGTGTACAATGATAAGAATGACTAACTGTCAGCGTCAATGATGTTGACTGTGACTATATGCCTAACAAATTCTCCAGCATCCTCGATGGTATCAATTAGGAGTGGGTCTTGAGGCGTAAATGTCAGAGTGACCTTGTCATCATACTCCAGAGTGATGTCATCATCATGTGGGACAAATGTCAGTGATGTATTTCCAGATGCACTTGTAGGAATGTTCAAAATTCTCTCATAGTCACTTGATGCTATAAGAATGACAGACTAGTATAATATTGTGCATTTTAAGAACCATAACTTACTTGCTGTATTCTCAACCACAGATATTGTTCCATGGAACACTAATGGCAACCGAGAAACTCCTTTCACATTGGGTCCAAATGTTGTATGCAGTCTTAGTCCCTCAGTCACATTGTAAGATGATTTGTGAAAACCATGGACTGTATAATGTGTTTAGTGAACATTACTTTAAAGGAGGTAGCTTACAGCATTCCTAAACTTCATGGGTTGAATTCGTAATGAATAATAGGCAAAAAATCCGGATTGTTTCTTGGCATAGTATGAAGTTGTAGCTAAGTGTGCGATAATATTACAGGAGCTGAAAAAGTGTGAAGTCTCTACGTGCATTCTTTTTGGGAATCAAAGATTTCCTGTTATATACATGGAACAGAATATTTTTGCTTAACAATAATATGTCACAAAATATCGCAGAACGGTGTTAGGCAATTTGCTCTGATGCGTGCCCGACCTCCATGCGCACTTTCTCCTCTCCTATAAAAATGTACAGGACCCGAACTAATAATGAGGCATTCAACTAATAATTCGGAAATTATTTTCTTGTTCCTTGGCATAGTAAAATTCAACCCACGAAGTTACAAAATGTGGTAAAGAGGGCGGAGCGGAGTCTATAGCACAAATCTGTTACAGATACTCGCTGTGATTCTTACCAATGCACTGCGGGATAGTACAGGATGTTCCATCTTCGGAGAAGGAGACACCTTCATCGGTGTCCGAGCAACATTCTCTAGCACTGTTGGCGATAAAGGAGTCACCTTCGCACAATGGACGCGTGTAACATTCCTGGGTTGAACCTGCAATGTCATATACTATCGTCAAGCAAGAGGAGAGCAGAGTTAGCTAAGAATGTATATGGCCTTGAAAACAAATTTTATCGGATGGTTTACGAGGCTAGGTCTCACCATACGCTAGAATGCCGAGAAACAGCACTGCCTCAAACCACATGGCTGTCCAGTGAGGTACAGTTTTTGAGTCTGACTATATAGATAGAGCCAGCTAACTCCCAACTGTGCCGGGTGCGCTGAGAATCTCTTTTTATAGGCAGGCCACCACAGTGCATGCGTGGGAAGTGTGCAGAAATGAACTCCCACGTTCAATATGCGCGCGCAAACACAACCGCGCGCGGTGACGTAGAAAATCCTGCAACCTGATTGGTCACAAGCACTCTCGCGCGCTGGCTCCGACGCTGGGGAGTCCAAGCTAGAGAGACTTGTGGCGTTGCATGTTCGCCATTCTGTCTGCATACTAAGGTTTTGGGTGATTCTCTTACTATCATCCGCCCTCTTGTTAGCATAGCTGATCATGAGCAAGTTGTCCGACATGAAACTGTTTTTCTTGCAGGAGACAGAGTGTGTAGCCACTATAGCTACCTTTCTACCATTTTAAACAGATGCTGTGCAAAAGAGTAAGTATATACTTAGTAACTGTTTCATGTTGGCTGAATCCTGGCCATCATAAGTATCACTGAATCATGAACACATCTCAGTCCATAATACAATATTGCCTCCAAGGGCTTGATACCTCAACCCATTTGGAGGAATGTGGCTGGTATATAGTAGATACGCAGTCGGGGAGGTGGGGGTGGGGGCTCAGTTTACTCTAAAAGGCATACTGTCATACAGAAAGTGTGGCGACAAAGTGTCTGTGACTTTGTGTAGTGAAACCAACATTGGAGTACAACAAACCAAGGTATGCACCATCAAATGCATCAAGCATTCAACTGAGAGTAACAACACTGTTAAAAGTGGGGTGTTAGAGCAACACCTTTTGGGGTGCCCGTGGGACTGTGCATCCCCCCCCCCCCGTTTCACAACCTGGGTTGTTAGGGTTGGTGTTAAGCATCACCCATAAGAGTGTACAGGAACACATTTTCTGGGGCAATGTACACTAAGAGTGCTATTTAGCCTTTCTGTTGATGCTTAATACACCCTTTGGGGTGTTCATAAACATACAATAGGTGCTGCTTCAATTCTTCATATATAGGATGTTCAACAACACGTTGGTGCTCTAATAGCACTGTTCATTGTTGCAGTAGTGCCATTGCTCTTACACTTGAAGTGATAAAATTATTATTTCACAGTAAAAGAGCATGAGATACAAGGAGAAATGATACAATAAAGAGCATAAGATACAAAAAAGAAAAAAGAAGAAAATTCCTAATGTTTAATATTGTCTAATGATGCTATTTCAGGTACCTTTTGCTTGTCTAAAATCCT